ATTAAGCAGCACCACTGTTTTCAACATTAATAATAATAATAATAATAATACTGTAAGTAATGGTTCTTGAAAAGCAAATCAGATTTCTAAAGGATCATGTGACACTGAAAGCTGGAGTAATTGCTACTGAAAAATCAGCTTATTTACAGGAATAAATTACATTTAAAAATGTATTTAAATAGAGAAAATGTAATTTAATGAATGCAGCCTTGGTGAAGATTTTCAAAAACACACACAAAAAAATCTTACCAACCCCAAACTTCTGAACGATAACTTTGTTTAAAATAAGACTAACAACTGTATAACAGTGAGTGTAGCCAGTGTGTGTGTTTATATTCAATATTATTTCCTTTTCTACTCCTCAGAGCCTTCACCTACATAACCATCCGATTTCTCCATTCACTTTCTCTCACTCCATTCTCTTCATCCGCCCCTCAATCCCTTCATCTTCTCTCTCCCAGTCTCTAGTGAACAGCTGGTGAGGAGAATTCCCACAATCCCTCACACCGTAATCTCCCTCCCTTTGCTCACAAGTCCATCCATCAAAAGAGCCTTTATTGACCCCTGCTTCTGCTGCTGTGTGTGTGTGCTGGGTTATGTCTGATGTCACTGTGTGCATTATAGCAGTGTAGAAAGTTTCGTAAAATCAAATCAAATTAAATTAAATAAACACACCAGCCACAGTGTCCATAGGGTTTTTATGAAGATCATATGTTTGTAAGACTCACTTTGAATGGTTCAACATTTACACAAGGTCAGGTGTGGGTTTGTTTGTGTGTTTTCATGTATATGTGTGTGTTTTTGTGTACTTAATGACTTTAAGCACAGCTGCAGATGCCAGAAGGTTAATGAATCACTGTGTTAAACCGTCTATATCCCATTAACCTGAGACCTACAGCGTGATCTTTATCAGGAGAATATTAGCACACACACACACACACACACACACACACACACACACACACACACACACACACACACACATACACACACACACAGATCACTCACATCAAGCCGACACATGCAGAAATCGAAATAGAGCTGGAAATTCTAACGGACACATTCACAGGGATAAACACAGACTCTACGCTGTGACACACACACATGGTACACACACACACACGTTTACACACCAACCATAGTGTGGCACGGGGCTCTGATTGCTGACCTAGTTTGGGAGGGACCTGTCACTACTCATAGCCATCAGACGGCAAACTCACTGGCTCAGCATGGCAAACACACAACCACAAACACTGAACTTTGGAACTCAGAGAGCAGCGGCATCTGTGTGAAATTAAATAGTACGGTTTTAATTTTGACATGGCTTCAAACTGTGCAGCAAGGTATGCTAAATGTTGCTGCTAAAAATACGTAAATGTAATGGCATGCGTTAAAGTGTGCGGAAAACCTCTCACATTTCTACATTGCAAGTAATATGGGGCACCAAATGTTGAGGGTTGCTAACTGGCATCCCAGTATTAACAACAAAAACGGACCAATTTAAGCAACAAAAAGTATTTCTTTCAACTGTTTTGAACAGTACAAAAATTTAAGAATAATTTTATATTAAAATTATTACTGTTACACTTTATTTTAAGGTGTCCTTGTTACAGTGTAAATATAGATTTAAGTACTGAGTAATATTAATTAAGCATATGATCACTATATGGTTAGGGTTCGGCTTAGAGCTATTTGCATGTGATTATGCATAATGTATTGTTCTTATAATAGTAAGTACATGTAACGTGCAACAAGGACACCTTAAAATAAAGTGTTACCTTATTACTTAATTGTACATTTATCAGCAAATAAATATTATAAAAAAATTTAAATATTAAAATACATTCAAGTGGTGAAATGATAAAAAAATGTCTCTTAAACCAAAATATTATATTAACATCTAAAATTCAAGTACAAATCTTAAAAAAACAACATCATCATAAATCAAATTGCAAATTTTATAACTGAATCTTAAATCTAAATCTTGTGTTAAATCTAAATGTACATTTAATTTTAACTCTTAAGATTCAAATTAAAGTCTTAAATCTTAAATGCAAGTACAAATCTAGCATAAATCTAAATCTTAAAAATGAATCTAAATGCAAATTTTAAATCTGAATCCTAAACCAAAAATCTTAAGTGATAAATCTAAATGTAATCTGAATCTTACATTTACAAATCTGTATTCAAATGGTACATTTGAGTCTTAAATTAAAATATAATCACTTAAATCTTAAATCTAAAAAACAAAATCTGAATTTAAATTTTAAATTAGAATCTTAATTCAAATTATTAAGTGTTAAAGATAAATGTAATCTAAATCTTAAATCTTAAATACAAGTACAAATATAAAAATCTAAATCTACAATCTAATAATTCAAATAATTTAATCTAATAATTTAAATGAGTAAAATCTTAATTAAAATGTTTAATCTTAATTTTAGTTTTAAGTGTTAAAATCTAAATGTAAAATGTTAAATCTGAATCATATAAATTCATGTCTTAAATCTAAATCTAAATGATGTTGCTCACTTGCAGACAATATGCTTTCATTGATTATAACGGGAGCGTTCTCATTTTGCTGCATCATGCCACTCGCTTGCAGTATCACACTGTGACATCAATGTGGGGGGGGGGTACACACACACACACACACACACACACACACACACACAGACCGGTTAGGGTGGGAGTAAGGTTCATCTCTAATATTTCAGTTTAACCTTGATAAATAAACCAACGAGACCTTTTCAATAATTAACAGCCCCTTACCACAAGTCTAATCCAGTGTGACAAACACACACACACACACACACACACACGCAAACTCTGATGCTCCAAAGTCGAAATATCAACGAGTAGCTGTAGAACAGACAAACAAGGCTGTGCATGTACAGTAAGTCCACGGTAATACACTTTTAATTTTACCATTAACTCAGACAGTAATGCAATGAGGCAAGCTCTCACACTACTATTGTGAATTATTGACTATGTGAGAATGTGCTTTGGAGAATATGATGGTAAAGGAAAGGTTTAGGAGAGGGATTCTAATGCAGTGGGTTTTTTTGAACGCTTTTTAGGGTAAAGTGCTCCCCTGGGAACTCAGTTAGCGCCCAGTGATCAAAGTTTTGACAAAAGAGCTTGGAGCGTTTGATACACTCTGATACACACTCAGCAGGGAGAAGATCTCAGCTTCAAACAGTGCAGATCACAGGGGGAACAAGCACCAGCTAAAAGCATCACTCGCAGCCTCACACAACAGGACGAAACCACAAAAACCTACACTAGTAATACGCGGTGCTTTTATCCTATATTAAAACACATAAACGGTTTACATCCGTGATTTATGACAGCACAGACACCATACGTGGATATTTGGGAAGGGAAACGCACAGTGTGTATGTGCGTGAGTGTGTTTGCCATTGGTCGGGCTGTTGTGTCTAGCTGCTCTTAAATGCCCTTGAGTCTCACAGGCCCATTACAGCCAATTAAGATCCACATAATCACAAGCGTGTGCAAAACCGAACAGCACCCAACGCTCTGTCTTTCTCTTTCTCATTACAGGAATATTGTAGAAATTAACAACTGCCAACTTAGGTTAATTAAAAGTGATTTCCCTAGGGAACAAACAGTAACACACACACACATTCTGTGTTTTATCGATGGATTCAACTTTTGGTGGAGCAACTATGAGGTAAATTTGATGGGACAGAACCCCTGCTAATGGTATTATTGCACTTGGGTAATTAGCAAATATTCCCTAAAAATATTTGTTCATTCAAATCATTTTTATAGCTGAAATTATCACTTTATTTGCAATCTTAATTTTTGGGCTTTAAATTTTTAATATTTAATCATATGAATCAGGGGTCTCAAATTCATCTCAAATTCATACTAACTGACGGCTTTTACTTTATATAGTATAAAGTCAGGCCCCACCTTATATTAAGTGGCCTTAACTACTATTTACTTGCATATAAATACATAAATGAACCATTTAATACAATGCACTTATTTACATTGTACTTATATTTAAAAAAAATATCTGCATATAGTTACATCTGTAATTAATTTCTGTAATTAATAAACTACATTTATAATTACACTGTTGACCCATCCCTTACACCTAAACCCATCCTTAAACCTACCTCCAAACCTGTCTCTAACCTTATCCCTATCCCACCTCAATAGCAGCAAAATTGTTTTGCAATACAATATGAACACAATAAGTACACTGTACTTATTTTTTGATGAACGTACATAGTAGTTAAGGCCACTTGATATAAAGTGGGACCTATAATCTTTTACAAAAAGTTTGGGAAAGGTTGTGTGCTATAAAAATCCTACAAAACTACAAGATAAAATTATTGCATGTGATATTTGTTCACATGACTAATTAATTCATGGCCACTTTTTATTTATTTGTTCCCTCATTTCAGTGATTTTGTGGCCACATTTACCATTCCTTTCCCTTGTTTTTGTTAATTTATGAGTACTTTGTAGTAATTTGTTCCCTCATTTAAATTTAGTTAAAACATGGTAACGATTGTACTAAAATGAGGGAACAAATTAGTACAACATGGCCATGATTTTACTTAAAATGAAGGAAACAAATTAAGCTGTGGGAATATCTTTTTTTTTTTGTGAAAAATTGATTTGTGGGTTGGATGAGTGGATAAATTATTTGTAGCATTTAACGAGTGCACAAGATAACGTAACATGTGGGATGAATTTGGCTTGTGGGCTGATAGTTTAAGAACAGTTATAATAGAGCACAAAAAACCCCCAAGAAAGTGAAAATTAAGATTATGAAACATGACCGGGCTTGAACCTGTTTTATCAATTTAAGCACCAAGGAACATTATGCCTCGAACACGTGCTGCTAACTTCTGCTTAACTAGACGGAGAGGACCCAAAATATGGAAATGATTCCCAGAAATAAATGCTGTTGTCCAAAACTGTACTATATTGCGATATTGGTTAACTTAACACACACTTACCTATGATGTAATAGTCTCGTAAGTTCTTGAATTCGTGACCCCACAGGTTGGGCGAATACTCCTGGAACTTGATGGTAAACCTCATATCGCTGTTGGGTTTGTCACAGGTGAGCAACAGGTTCGGGGCGCCCATCACCTCACACCTGTCGGCCTGCTCTCGTGAGGACACCAGGTACAGTTTATAATACTCATACTCAGGAGGAGAGTTCGGCCCTGATGGACTCGTGGCAGGACAAACGAGGTCCAAACGATCCCCTATTTGAGGGTAGAGTATGTAGCCCCTCTCATCTCCAAACCTGTAGAATTAGAGACAGAGAGATGAAGTTTGAGTGACACACAAATGAGAAATGATTGTTTCCATGGAAACTGAGATTGACAGTTTGATATTTGCTTGCGTGATCGTGCATATGAAACCGCAAGGCCTGTCTGAAGCTGAAACTGCCCTTTTGGTCATACATTTTTTTACTCAAAATGTAAACATACATGCCCTTTGTTCAGGAGAGTGTGTGAGAGGGCATATGTGTGGTTTTGCTTGCCAATGTGATGAAAATGAGCATATGTGGGGATAACGTTTTGCCTACAATAGTAAAACCCGAAATTGCTTAGATTGAGGGGACGAGTCAATGGCAAACCTGTATGACTTTCCTCTGTGAAAAACAAAAGAAGATATATTGAACTTGAAGAATCGTACTGGTCTGATGTGATCTATTTTGTTATTTTAATTTATGTTGTTCTGCATTGCACATTGGTTCTGGAGGAACGTTGTCTCGTTTCACTGTACTGTATATGGTTGAAATGATAGTAAAAGCCTACTTGACTTGAGATGAATGGAGACTATCAAGCAGCAAAAAGGACACAAAAAGTATCATAAAACTAATTCATACAACTTGTGCACTCAATTCAAAGTCTTCTGAGGTCATACAACTGCTTTATGTGAGAAACTGAATGAAATTTCAAAGTCATTATTCATCCCTTCAGCAAGATGCTAACTGCTGTGTCCGGATCATTGAGTCAATGAACTTGAGAACTCGATCATTTTCATACCTGAATTAATCATTCAGACCAGGGGCTGAATTCAGGAAAATCTTCTTAAAGATGTTAAGAAATGGCAATACATTTGTAAGAGTGTTCCAACAGTGAGAGCAATTTTTGACAAATTCTTATGAAGTTCTTAAATATGGTGGTTTTTGCCAAAGACCTGCTGATCAACTCAATGAAAATAACCTCAAAGTCTGTCTTTTTGCAATGTGTGCAGACAATAATCATTTGCAAACAATAGTCTGAAAAGTAGAGCAGAGGAAAGAAAAAACACATTCCGTGTGAATGGCCCCTCAAAAAATGTTATATACAAAATCATAATTTTATTCTTAAGTTAGGAAATAGAATAAAAATTAGCTGTTAAGAAGAATTTTACTCTTAAGAATATTTTGGGAATGCGGCCCCTGGTTGGTTAACATGAATCAACAGATTAATTTGAAATGAACTCAAAAGAACGACACTATTACTTTCATGAACTTACTAAAGTAATGGAGAATTTTTATGGTACATTTTTACTATTGTGGAGCTTGGCAACCTCAGACTTCATTATTTTTTTTTATAATTCAGTGTCCCGCAGAATAATGTCTGTTATATGGATCTGAAACAAAATGTTAATTTTTGGATGGAATATTCCTTTGATAAATACTAAATAATGTCTTAATGAGAAACTAAAAATGCAGTAAGATTTCTGTGAAGGTTCAAAAATAAAATAAATAAAACTTTGTAAAAAACCAAGTAATCAATAGGAAGACCTTGATAGAAAACCAAAAAGTGTATGTGACGAGAGCATATCCAAATATATGAACGCTATCATAAAAACATAACTGAGCATAACAAACAATTATTCAGTATTTTATAGTACTTTCTCAGTCAAACCAAGACCAATGTTGAAACACAGCACTTAAAAGCTCCTATACCTTCATCCTCTTGAGGAAAGAAAGCTCTGGCATTTAGCAGACTGACATTTTAGCTCTATTCAGAGACAGAGTCTTTTTCTGAAGTTGAAAATTTATCTCACAAATAACACCACTGCAGATAGAAGGTATTTTGCAGACCCCTCTCTCCTCACGCTAAGTGTACAAAGCTTGACATTTCCATCAGGCTGAGACATCCATGCAAAACTCCAATTAACCACACCAAAGTTTGTAAGACACCTTTGCACACACAGACAGACAGATAGATCAAAAAAGGCTTCCTAGTCAGAAAAAAAAAACCCATGTGAGAACAAAAGCACCTGATCTGTGGATCAACACATATCCATTAACACACTGAGATTAGGCCTCAATCAGCCATCCGTCACAGACGCAACAAAAGTCAATGTGATCTGATCTCTGCCTTTTCATTAGCTACTAACATATGGGATCCGACTGAGGGTAAATATCGTAATCTGTTAATCAGACGCTTTAATTTATCAAAACAAAAACTCACTCATCACTGTTTGGTGAAAAACACACACTAGGCCTTCGGTGTTTACATTGTGCTGCGCATCGAACCAAGCAATTTACCAGAGGCTGTGAATTATGATGACCACACACACACTCTCTGACCATATAAGACGAACTGCATTCATCAGACTGTCTGTATGTTTAGTTATTTCTACAGACTTGTTTAATCCTTTTGTCTCTGATATATTTACCTAATTGTGTCTGATCGAAGACACAGGAGGGCAATCTGGCATTCTTTCCTGGTTAAACCGGATTGTGATTGGTTAGTGAACTCACCCCACACTGTTTAGATAAAGGTTAGAGGTGGTCGACCTGATTACATTCTGAGGCGTTGCGGGTTTCAGTGCTGGTTTAATGCTTCTCATTGGCGGGTTTGAATCCCAGGGCTCCTTTACACGTGCACTGCAGAGATGGAGTGACTTTGGGCCGCCCTTGAGTTTCTAAGGCCGTCGGAAGCTTTGAAACCAGACTCTGTTGTTCCCTTTCGCTCATCAACAAACCTCCACTTCACTCGCACCAACCCAATATCTTCCCATGAGCCCACGCTGGGCTTTCCAAAGTTTGTTTTCAGCAAGATAATGCGACTAAAAAAGGAGACGAAAATCATAATTTCAAATTCATGCATTATCTTTCTAAGTGTATTATGTTATTTGACAAACGCAGACGAGGACTTTGTCTGTGCATAATGATAGAAATTAGAGATGCAAAGACAAAAAAGGACTGTAACCGATAAATGGCTGATAATAAAGTTTTACACTATTATGTTTAAATTAAAAAGAAGGAAATCTTAAAATGCTTTAAGCATCCCAACATTGTGAGAGTTGAGAGTTCATTTTGAGAGTTGCTAAAGATTACATTTAACAATGTAATAATTTAATGATTAAATTATTAGTTTACATTTAAATGTAACTTTAAATGAGTGTAAGATGATGACAACAGTATGGAGGACCAAACCTCTAGTAGAGAACTATTAATTTACAGTTCTCTACCGTTGATTTACATCTTATTTTTTATTTTTTACAGCGAACTGCTGCCAGTTAGTTACTGTAATTTCTACAGTGTATATATGAATTTGCAGTTTATTTTAATAAATATCAAAAATCTAAAGCGTTTGCATTATAACTGAGAACTACATGAACACTTCACAGTTGGTTGTGTTACTGCAAGTAATTTTCCTCAAATGCTATTGAAGTTAGAAAAGTGTATACCAATGTCGTATGTAACTTTAGAGACGGTCCCTAGATTTGCGAATATCGAATGCCAGGAAATGACACCTCTGGCCATTCCGTTGGGTCATTTGTAAAGTCACAGATACTGTACGGACAATACGGCTCCGTTTTTCTATGCATCTTGCTCTGTTGAACGGCAAAAGTGACTTTACTAGGCTATACTGGATTTACACCATGCATTTCCTGTCAGCGGGAAAGCCACGCCCCCAGCTATCACAAGACCCGCCCAAGTCCATGGTTGACACCCTATCATTTAGCATGTTGTGCAGAGGAAAAATAAATGCGGAACTACATTCAGAAATAAATGAGTGATTAAAAGAAAACAGTTAGGATGAGTTTAGCATTTCCTTAAACATTTTCCATTTGGCCACCAATTTATTTTATTTATTTGACTACTTTCATCACACGTTTAATTATTTATATACGTATTTAAACAAGAATACGTGTATTTATACACACACACATTTATTTATTTGCTTATTTATTTATTTATGTTAATTTCTGCATAGTACATAGTACAACAGCAGTATAAATGTGAAAAAATGGAAATGAGCCAGAACAATTAAATATCGACTGAAAATGAATAAATTAAAAATTTCTAATATCAGTCAACTGACATGGTAACAATATATTGTGCATCCCTAATAAAAGTTATAAACACCGCAAAATGTATTATTTGTGTATTATTTTATACCACTTTAATAGAACACATCATGAAAAAGAATTTTCCTTGCTGTTTCAAAAATAAATACATTCAAAAGTTCGATGAACTATATAGACGTATAAGCTGCAAAAATGGATCAATCTGAAACTGACACTGTATTAAGTTTGAAAACCATGAGCACATAACCACTCACAAGTACAAATAAACAAGGGCTGTCAATTTAACAAGTCAGTGTGACTTAATAAAATATGAATCATATCCATAAGAAATTCAAGCTTGAAGGAGCCGTTCACACAGGACGGGTTCCAGCATTCAAATTTAGGGATCTCTAGACACATTTTTCAAAGCTGATGTACTTTTTACTTGACACGCCATCTAAAAAAAGCTCATGCTGCCTCAAATCGCCAACTCTCATTGTAAATGAATATTTTCTGTCTGCTGCAAACTGCTGTCAGTGTTAAAAGGGTCAGAGATAGTGTAGAAAATGGTCGTGAAATACTAAATTATGACTTTTTGGTGCACTACATGTAGTCAAAAGTGTAGAAAATGGCCCCTTCAATTTCACAACAGAGGGTGCATTTCATCTTACTTGTGTTTTCTTTAATCTCAAGCAAATGGATACGTTAACCTCAAATCCTGCCACCCTGCAGATCCCAACCGTTTTCCTTCAGTCCAAACGGAAGACATTTCTATCAGAGAGCTGTCAGACCCCTGCTGAGACATACGAAGCACGGCGGCCGTTACCAAGACCACCCCAGAATAACAAAGGACAAAAATCAAATCTCAGCATAATACAATTTACTGATGGAAGCAAACGTAACATGCTGCATCTGTTTCTGACTACACTACACTGATTTTTCAAAGGCTTTTGAACATGTCAAAATTGCTCTGTGATGTGATCACCAGTTGACGAGCTGAAT